AATACTATTAATTTATATTTTTTAAAGTTAATTTTTATATTAGAAATGTTTTATATTCATAAATTTTTACACTCTAAATATAATAAAATAATCACATTAGGATATAAAATCTTGATATCTAGTAATTAGATTTGAGCTAAAATATTATTATTTAACAAAATAAACTAATAGTAGTATTTGTATTCAAATTTGATCACTAGGTATCAAAATATTACATTCTAAAGGGATCATTTCATTTTTTAATAATTAATTTTGAATGAAAAATGATTGTTAAAAAATGAAACAGTCTTTTTAGAATATAATATCTCAATACCTAGTGATTAAATTCAAATACAAATACTATCATTTGATTTAACTATACTAAGTGGGTCAAATAATAGTATTTTTATTCAAATTTAATTACTAGATATCAAAATTTTACATCCTAAAATGACTATTTTATTTTTGTTAATATTAAAAAAATGAATTTGACATAATATTTTGATGTTTAATAATTTTAAACAAAATACTACTATTTGATTTATCTCGACTAGACAAATCAATTGGAATTATTTTTGTTCGAATTTAATTACTAAATATTAATAATTAGATTATTAAATATTGAGATATATATTTTAAAATTTGTGCTGTAAAATTTTAATAAACATAAAACATCTGATGTAGAAGTTTTATTAATTTTAAAAGGAATAAATAATCATCAGCATTTATATTATTCTTTGTTTTTAGGAATTTTTAGGATGATAATATTACAATTATATTATAAAAATTATTAATTTCATAATTTGTAATATTTACAAAAATTATAAAAATTATATAAAAAACTTAGAATATTTTACAATTTTATTATATATTATTAATTATTATATTTATACACTTTTATTTTTCTACTTTGTATTCTTATATTTTTTATATTTTTTATATTTTTTATACTTTTATATTTTTTATACTTTTATATATTTATACTTTTTATACTTTATATATTTATACTTTTTATACTTTTTATATTTTTATATTTATTTATCCCAAGTAAATATAACTTAATCAATCAAAACTCTTCAAAATTTATATTTTTCTCCTTTATTTTCTTCTTTTCATATTTAGTAAATTAAAATTCTATTTTTAGTTAGTATAATTATTTTTTATATTATTTTTTTGCTTTTAATATTATATTTATATTTCATAAAAATGTATAAATATGAGTTGTAGTTGAGCTCTAACTCAATATGTCAGAACTTGAAAATAAATAATATAATAAAACAAATATCTTTTAACACTTAAACAATTTATCTTTCCCTCTTAACTATACACTTCAAATCTTGCAAACAAGTAGCTTTGAAATCATATTGAGCTAATTAAAATGTTAATATTGAATTATTGAATTAATATTTTGTTATAGACTAGTCTTTTTGATATTTTTGTTATAATTGAATTATTTGGAATTCCTCAACTAAAGATATCATAATCTCTTTCTTGTAAGAAGAATATAGTGAAAGAATTTCATTACTTTTGTTATTAGTTAGTTAATTTGTTTGTCACTTTAATTAAATAATTCATAAATTAATTAGTTAGTATATTTATTTAGAACACTATACCTAATTGAAATTCTATTACTTTATTCTTTTTTCCTTCTCAAACTATAATAATTTCAGTAGAAATTGGCATAGGACTTAGATATTATTTTTATATTATTCTTATATTTGTTTAATTACCTCTCCCAACTCTTATTTGCATTTATTAGCTAATTACCTAATTAGTAAAAAATGTGTAACAATATGCATGATCTATAAAAAATTAGGGATGTTTGGATACTTATGATCACTACTATAAATAAACTAATAAATGTAATACTCAAATTAAATTATAAAAGTTATATAATTTTATAAAAGATATTGGAATTGTTGGATTGTTAAAATTCAAGATCATTAGCCAATCGAGTTTGTCATGACGCAACGAAATTGTAGGATTGCAAGATCGTTAGCCAATCGAATCTGTCGTGACGTAATAAAAGATCACGAGCTTAGAATTATCGTGACATCATGTTCGAACACGTAATATACATGTACTATGTTTTAGCGTTAGGTGGAAACTTTTATTTCAATTGTTGACCAATCACTGTTGTTGTGTACAGCGTATAAAATTCAATTTTAAAACCACGTTCTCAAAGAACAAAAATTTTTTTATATTGTTCTCAAAAAATAGATAATGTTCTCAATTATGTCTTCAAGTTTTTAAAATCGTTCTCAAGCAAAAAAATAAATATTTTTTATAATTACTTAGGGCTTTCTGAGAACATGACTTCTGATCAAATTGTTCTCGAATAAGAGTACATTTTTGTAGCCACAAATGTTCTCAAAAATGTTGTGATGTTCTCTGAGAACATTAAATTTTATACACTGGTTATGTATTATCTACGTATACTATGCCGATACTCGTAACTTTCTTAAACTCTTGTTCAATATATATATATATATGTGTGTGTGTGTGTAATCGAAACACATTACAGCAAAAAAGCGCATAATTATATTTGTCAAAACTACACTTTCGTATTGGTGATAGGCCTAGTGATTTTTGTTCAATTTGATCAAAAAATCTCAGCTGCTACGAAATGCTACCAAAAGGTAATTGAAATTTGAAAGTTTAGAAGATAAGTAATAAATTTTGACACTTTTGCATTTCTTTGATTGTCTTTTGATTGCCACTGTAATTTACTTTATTTTCTTTGTCGTCACCATGTCGTCGCCATTTATTGAGTCATTTGTTGTGATATCGCTGCTAGATCTTCGTTATAACATGTCAGTTGGAGGAGTGACAAACATTAGCTAATATCCATTTTATTATAGGACCTCCCTCCTGAGATTTCACTTAACACATGCACATGAGATTCTATTGACACCTGAGATTTGGCCATCTCTAGAATATTGTCACTTTCCAACTTACACCACATAATCCATGATCATGAAGTCTCCCGTCGGATCAACTGACATGTCGTTGATGAGATAACAGTACAGTTCCATCCAAAACAGATGCCATTTTGATCATATTACATTTGTCACAACAAATCAAAACAGTGAAATAATAACAGCTAGCACATTCGTCTCAAAGTCAAACAAAGAGCCAACAACTAATCGTGATTTCATTATTCAATATCCTAATGGTCAATTGGCTTCTGTGAATTTCTAGACAAAAGACCTGGACTTGCTTGACCTTCATATTTATTTATTTGATAGATTTGCTTGAACGTGTAATTGAATCGAAGAATGAATTCCTCTTGTTTGTAAACTTGGATTGCTTGACAAAAGCCTGATGCCTTGCCCAGTAGAAATTTGGTTGGAAGTATTAGATTTAATATTACTTTAAATGATATAAAGCATCAAATGATCCTGATGTAATTTCATCACAGAAACACAACTTTCGAGAGTCTGATTTCCAACTTGACCATCACTATTTCAAGTCAAAGGATAATTTATAACCTGCAACCACTTTTCTGTCTAATGCTATATTGTAAATTTATCCTTTATTAAGGCACATTTCAAATAGTAAACAAACTAAAAATAAATCGCATATACGCATACATCCTACATGTATAACATGTATATTGAACTTTTTGTTATTTGATTTCTATTTTATAAAAACGCAATAAAACCAGCTCTAAAGCTTGAAAGTAAAAGAAAAACTTTGACTATGAATTATAACAATTTTCAAAAACTAGAGAGATTGTGTCTTCTTATTCATAACGGTAAGCAAATGATTCTTCCCAACAGTTGATCTCTTTCTGTAAGGACGAAAATTCTTTACACGAATCACTGGTAATCGTGTTGTACGATCAACGAAAATGGGGGGATTATCATATTACATGTATTTTATTAATTACATGTACACTGTTTTTTTTCTTATTTATACTTTATTTAATTTATATAATTTTCTTTGTCATCGCCGTTACACTCATATCGTTGCCGTTACACTATGATCGGATGATAGTGACTCCATGCCGGTTAACACGCAGCGTTATTTAGAACGTTTATGAATTTGATGGGATCGTCAAGTCAATCTTTTCACGGGGACTGGATTTTGTCGTAGATGCTAAACGCAAAGCTATTATAGCGTATATTGGGTGTTTATGTTAATATGTTAAAAAACAAACAATTATTCAATTACTCTATCGTCCTTATTCTATTATAATTCAAAATAAAAAACAGACAAATAGAAAATTATATAAATTATGTCTAGATAGACATAGCTTCCAATTCTGCTGTACTAACACTCAAAAATTCCATCACATTTAAACCGAAACTATGTACAGTCAAAGCACTATATAACGATCCCCTTATATAACGAGATTTGGTTATTACGAACTTTTGAAAAATTTCCGACTATAATAAAAAGCATTTGTTTATAACGATTTTTTATTTAACGCTCATTATAACAATTTTTTTGAGCTTGGGCCGATCCATCGCTTTGACTGTATTCCCATTCATAGATTCTCCCGAATGCTTGCTTAGCTTGAATGGATTGAGTAATATATTTAGACCAGAAATTTGATTTAACTTCAGTTCCGAGTTACAAGCCGATTTCCCTGTGACTTATATATATTCAAATATCAAGAAACAAAAATTAGATCAAGGTAGCGTAATCGTTTGTGGGTTAGGTCTAAATATTAGCAATAACGAAACCACAGTCGAACATGAGAATTTTTGAGATAAGCAAACATTCGATCAAAGAAAAGTTTATGAATGGAAAACCGAATTTTCTTAAATTCGGATCGAAGTGGTGATTCTAACGCTAATACGTATTGCCGGGATAATTATAAACATACAATTTTTATCGAATATTTATGGCACAGTGTTTATAACTACTCATCATGACTAATCTATAACAATAAACGTATTAGGTGCTCAGTCCAATGTTTCTTTATAAGTTGAAGATTATTATTATTTTTAATGTAAGGACAACAAAATGAATTCCCAAAGAAACACAGACGCATTATCTTTCCACGACGTTAGTTAATTAGCTTTATATATGATTTGCGCTTTGGCGCCTGTTTCCAATTCCAAAGCCGGATAAATTTTTTCGGGCAAATTAGAAAATGCTGTTTTCATTCTATTCCCGTTAATTGAGAAGGCACAAGTTCTTTGCGTCATATCTAAATGAATCGTAATGATGTCTTTTTCTATAAAAGGTGGTAGCTCATATTTTGTCGAAATATTATTATGATAATAGGAGCCTGTAGAGCTCATGCACCAACCAGTTGACTGAATACTAAGATTTTTTGAAAAATCACATTCTTCCGTACAAACACCAACTGAAATTAACTTTCCAATTTTTTGAATCAGAATATCCCATTCGATTGTTTGTTTATCAAAAAGTGCTTGCATAGCTCGAATTGATTGTACGTGACGATGAGCACTAACCGCTTCTACTTCGGTTTTGTCATTGCTTAGAATCAGAATAGATCCACATGCTGTTTGATCCCATTTGAACATAAATCCTCTATGTGTAATCAGTGAATTATCTTGAGGTCTAATAGAATGAAATCGGTATGCTTTCAATAATCTGTCTTCTGGAAGAATTTTCAAAGGATCAATAACACATCCTAAAATTTTGGCAGGAATCAATTCCAAATGAATATAAAGAAGTAATCCTTTGATTTTCTTGATTAGATGATTTCTTACGTTGCCGATTGTAGAAATTGTAGAATCTACAGAAACTCTGTGTGCATCCACATTCTTCTCTCTGCAATATTTTGCAATAGACTTCTCGTTTGGCAACAATTTGGAAAAATTATTCAATGCTTCAAAAGAGATTTCTTTGGCACCCCATAAAATAACATAGCGCAAAATACCGTACTCGTTGGTAACGAAGGACTCATCTTTTGCTGAAACTTGCGACAAAAGAACATCCAACATGTTGTAAGGTACCATATCATAAGGAATCGTGTCGAGCTGGATGGCAATCATCTTTTTATAAATTCTCTTAATTACTGGATTTTGTTTATCGAGTCGACTTTTGTATTTAACAACGACTGAGGAAAAAAGATGGACTACATTGAAAGTATTTTGTTTACTTTTTAATAAAGAGTCAATGAAATTCGAAACGAATGTTTCCAAAGAGGGCAAATGTAAAAAGTTTGCCGCGTGGAGAACGTTGATTGCATTTCTAGAATCTAAGTTATCTTTGTTGGTCTCTCCGGTATAAAGATATAATAATATAATTTTCATAGTGGAGCTTAATATTTCGGGAAATGATATTTCGTCAGAAGTGGCTTCATGTTTCGCATTATAAAGCATTCCGTCAAGTATTTCACAGCGAGCGGCCAATAAAATGCGGCACCCATATAGAATTTTGTCATCAGAACATTTGATCTTTACGTCGCTGTATTGTTGATTGTTTAGGATATATTTTAGGTCGTCTAATAGAGAAATTCCACGAGTCATTTTAAAAATGTGAGAAACGTTAACGATAAAAGCCTGTTATAGTGCTAAAAGTAGTCTTGATACATGAAGAAATAGGAAAAGCAATTAAATAAAAAGAATATAAAGGGAATTAAAGGAGATTTTTTGAAGAGATAGAAGAGGTATATATATGTTTTCGAACGACAACTTTATCAAACAAAAATATACCATTCGATTCGTCAAATCAAACAGTATTTATAAAATCGATTATACTATAAGCCCAATAAATAAATTGATCTGCCATATGGAAAGTTTCTTATATCGATATTATCAAAATTTATGCTATTTATAGGTGTTCCGAAAAATATCCGTTATCGTTATCCTTATTTCGACTTTCACCGTTTTTCTTTTATTTTAAAACAATACAGTACAGTCCGCATGGAAGGTAATGGCGGACAGAATTTTTGCTGGATGCATCTACGTACTGAGATGCGCTCGAAACACAATAAATCACCTGATGATATACGCTATCGCTATATTTTTCCTGTTTACTTGCTGGTTATGCGATAATCACCCTCTTCTGTCGTCAAAAAATTGGACCCTGAGGTCTCGAAGAACTTTTGGCTAAATCTCACTGCGATTCTGCAAAATTTTCTTAAATAAATTATGTTCATATTCATTCCTGTAAATGATATAATATTTATCCTTACAAGCATACTCAAAAAATTTCAATAATTCACTTTTTGGTTATTCATATAAAGCCTCTTTTTGGAAGATTTTCATAGAATTTTTGTGGCGCAATATCTGGACCTCAATTTTATAAATAATATATGTCATATTTAAGGGGGATATGACAAAGAGGGCTAAGGTGATGATATCACAAAAGTCGAACATGTTATAGAATGTTTTTTGTTGTGTTAGTGGAAAGTACAGTAGCCGTCATAAGTATCCGACCGTCCGTAATTTTTCATAGATCATATGTAATGTACCAAAATTTTTCACGTATAAATATTGATAATTTATGCCTTTTATGGGCTGGTAAACTTCTATATCAGATGTTATACGTTTGTCAAAACTCTCGTGTTACAAATCAATCGGACGTAATATTCATGATATCTACAATATTTAGCAATCCACCCAGTGATTCGATCTGAACAAAAATGCTATCATTTGATTCGTCTCAACCAGACGAATCGAATGGTAGTATTTTTGTTCAGATCGAATAATTAAATGTTGAGATATTGCATCTTCCAATTTTTTTTGAGGTTATCAGAAATAAATCGGTCACTTTAGG